CATCCCTGGCTACTGGGCATGCTGGTAGGAGTGATGGGAATTGGAGCCCAACAACATCTGGAGAGCCACAAGTTTCCCCATCCCTGATATAAGATGCTCCCAATTCAGGCAGCAGCCTGTCCCCAGTGTAGGCATGTTGCAACTAAATGGGACAAGCTCAGTTAACTTGGAAAACTTTTTGCAGTGGGGTGGGGGTCAGGTAGACTGTGTTAGTCTTAGTGGATAAACAACAAAGTGACTTGGGGCCAACAAATGTATTATGGTATCAGTTTTCATGGAGCACTGCCTTCAGACCTAGTGATCCTGAACTGCTATCTAATTTCCCCTTTCCTCTAGTCTCCTAGTAACTGACATGGCTGCTTGTTTTCTAGTGTGAAGAGAATCCTGGCGTTACAGTGATGGCAATGCTCTGGAATGTGGAATGGGTGAGGCTACTTGCCAAACTCTCTGACCTCCAGGTAGCATTCCAGGGATTCTTTCACATGCTTGCTTCAGCTGCCCTGCTTGGCATTTTACTCTCATTTTAAGAGAGTTTTTCTCTGGCCTTTTACAGGCAAAAGTCCCTGTTGTGATTGTAGGATTCCTTATGTGTGTGGAAATGGCCGTTGCCATTAGCATTGCTTGTATGACCCTAAAGGGTGTGTTGCTATTGTATTTCCCCCCCTCCAGGGTTAAAGAACTTAGGTTGGTGTATACAAGCAGTCTACTCTCAAAACAACCTGTGCTTTGTGTCAGTGAAACTAGATTTGTAGATCAGGCAAGGATTCCAAAGTCTTCACATTCAGAAAACATACACACAGGAGAGAGGAGCTGATAAGTGGAAATGCTGTAGCTGAAGTGGCTTGTGAGATTTTTAAAGTGTTATAGCCTGATCCATACAGATGTGCAATATGCAATAATTTAAAGTATGTGCTAAAGGGGTCGTGTGCCTACTTCCCCACCAATTCAGCTCAGAGCTCTTGTTTTTATCAGGTGACTGCAAGGCTTCCCCAAGTTGGCTTGGTGCATGTTGTGCTGCCTGATGAAGCAGTTGTATAATTGCTTCACTGCACAAATCGATTTAAGAAGTGCTTTATACCAAGTAAGACCATTTGTCCATCTAGCTCACTCTTATCTATAACACTGTGATTGCTGATGGCTCTCCACGGCTTTGGATGCAAGTTTTTTCCAGCCCTGCCTGAGATGGAACATGCAAAGCATATACCCTTCCTCTGAGCTACCCCACTCCCCCAATTTTTGCAGCATAATTGGACAATGGAAGGCTAATAAAGAATATGCAGTTATAAGACACATAAGAAACCGTGAATCAAGCTTAGGGTGATATCACACTAACTCATACTCTGAGCAGACCAATTGAAACCTGAGTGTGCTTTAAATTCATCGTGATGTGTACGCTTCTTGCAGCAACCTATAATCTATAAAAGTTGGGAGTACCAAGCGAGTGCTAAGCCAGTTGTTTAGTACTCCACTGTAGAAGAGTTAAGCATGAGCGTATATAATTCCCGTTGCAACTGAAGGGTCTTCAGCACAGTTCAGCCAGACCCAAAGTCGTCTAACAACTTACGCTTACATTTGCAGTTCCTTTGCATCCTTGACATTGCCAAATTCTGGCTAAAGCAGCCTTCCATCCATACTTTTCAGCAGTCCAATGTGTCTTGGTTTTGTTGAAGCATTGCTAGCCTGATCTCTCCCACCCCCATTTACAGTTGTAAATCTGTTGCAGTGACTTGTGCTTCCCCTGCCTCTTCCACATGAGAACTCCAGGCAACATGTCTGTTGTTACCATTGACACGAAGAAAGTGGTTGTAAGGGTGCCACTGACACCAAATGGGTTATTTGCCTGTGATATGAATAGCAAGGAGTGGCACCAATCCCAGCTCCCACCCCCACTTCATTTTGTGCTCCTCTTACCCAATCCCCACCATGGTATGGGGGGAAAACTTTCCTTCTACTCTACCTCTCTAGTGCAGGAATGTTCAGAACATCAGTTAGCTGGAAGATGGGGAACCTGAGGTCTTCCAGCTGTTGGACATGGATCATTCCTTCTATGCTGGCTGGGGTTGATGAGTGATGGAGTCTAGCAATTATAGGTTCCCTATCACTGACCTCACTTTTAATTCTTTTTAGCTCTACGAGGTCATCTGTGTGTTCTCATGTATACAATTTCCCTCTAAACTGGTGTGAAATGCACCCACATCATTGTCTTTCAAGGGTGTGTGTTACTGTCACTCGAAGATTGGAGTTCATATTTTTCAGTAGTGCAGAAGATCCCGAAAACTGCCTCCTATAGCTTCAACCTGGCACCTCTCCCTGCTGCGAAGACAGTTTTGAGAAAAACACAAACATCTCGTTTTTAGCTTCTCCGTTTTGAAAAAAAAAATCTGGCTTTATTTGTAAAGTCTACAAAATACAGAGGAGTCTGGCAGGACACTTACTGTAAGTCAGAAAATAAATAAGTACTTTTCTTGCTCTATAGAAGATAAAATGTGATTTGCATATATAAAATATAAAGTACGGCTCTGTACCAACATCCTGGCCGTGCCACAAGGCGGAATGGCATAAAGGACGTGAAAAATAACTTATATTCGTGCAATAAATAAATCACAGGTAGGAACAATGGGAAACAGGGGTAGGGGAAATGCTAAATAGGGAACCCCCATAAGCATCATCACAGGGTGGAGGGGGAGGATGGACGGACGGATAGACAGACAACACTGGTTTGGAAGCTGATTCCATCATGGAGGGGGATGTGATGTCACTGTAAGCTGCAGGATGGGTGAACCCAACCATATGTCTAAAGAAATCAAAGGGTCAATTGTTTGCCATATAAATAAGTCACTGTGGTACATGCCTGGAAGTGACTGCCCACAAATACTCACTGGTTCCTATATTAGCAAATATATTTAAGGGTGGAAGGTACCTTCAAGACTCATCTAATCTAACCCCCCATGCCCTTTCATGGCTACCTGCACTCAAGCCAACCCTGACTTGTTTCCTTGCCAACATCTTAACATTATCAATGAGGTGGTAAACTTAGCTGAATTACTAGGTGAATTTCAGGGCTGATGAGATTGTAGGTGGTGTACGTTTCCTTCCCCCCCCCCTCTTACGCTCCCAGCTTGGGCCAAAATTCTAGTCTGATTATAAAATTGATGGTGATGGACCAAAACCGATTTCCCCCGGTGGATTAGAGGTGAGTATTATGCTTTAATCGGGTGCTGGTTCCTGCATGCACCATTAGCACATCTCTGTGCCACATGAATCCCATGAATTCCATCCCAAACCTGGTTTAAAGGGAACAGCAGCTTTATTGAAGCCTGGCTCAGCACATATATTTTTAAACCCACTTAGCATCACATTTAAACTGAGCCTCTGCTGGGCTTCTTATGGCACCACTGCTCATTCCCAGTGGAAGAGCAGTAATCTAGGGACACTTAAACTTCAGAGGAGGAAAAACTCACTCAAATGCTGACTGGTCAGCAATGCATAACTTTCGCTAATCAGTGTTATTTACAGTGCCACCTTATGTGTGTCTATTCAGAAGGAAGTCCTACTGAGTTTGGTGGGGCTTATTCTCCCCGGTGAATTGGGCATCTAGTATCAGGCTAACCAAAATCATGCCCTTCAAATAAACCTTGGAATCAAACTCCCACCAACCCCCAGGATTGCACACTTAAAAGGATGCTGGGATAAAAATTGTGAGCTCTTAATTCCTCCGAGCAAAGCTCAGCTTCCCCTTCACCTCAGTTTCTCCAGCCAACTTTTATCTGGGTAGTTCATTAGGGCAGAAATTGCTTTTGGTGAGGAGCTCTCAGTTTTGGTTTGTGTAGCCAGGATTGCTACTGCCGTGTGCAAATTAATCTTTCAATATACATTTGCTGGCTTGCACAGGGCTGAGGAAATTGTGTTTCTTCTGCGCCCTCCCCTCCCTACACCAGTTGCAGTTCCCCCTCCCCTCTTCCATACAACTGAATGGAGCAAAGAGGGGGGGGGATGCAGGCCAGAGAATGGTGTGGCATCCCTGTTTGATGAGTGTTCCCACATGCAGTTTCTTCTCCTTCCTCCACCAGAGTGAATGGACATCCCCCACTTGTTTACAGAGAGCACAAAGGCTCATAGGTGTTTTCTTTTAGTCTAGGTTGGGGAAGTGGACACGCCTCTCAGCTGTTGTTTGGCTGCTTCTCCCACCAATTCAGCCAACAAGCATAAGGCCAAGACAATGGAGTTGCACCCAACAGGCACGTTCCCATCTCTGCTGCAGAATCCTCCTGACTTTGGGCTCCGTTCCTCTGCTACTTAAATTCCTGAAAGTAGAGCTTTCAATTTGTGTAATGATGATGACTTCTGATCCCTGTTTTTTTTCCACTACACAGGAAATGGAGAGTAAATATGGAAGTTTCTCTCCTCGCAATACCTCATCTGCCATTTATTTTCAAACAGGTTGATTTAGACACACTTTGCAGATCATGCTGGGGTTTCTTTCTGACTGCCTCCTCTTTGTCCCCAAATTATCATACAGGTCACTCAGCAGGAATACTGCAAAATTGGGCAACAGGCCACCACAGTGATGCCTCTGCAAACTATTCACACTAGAACCAAATGGCTTTCCCAGGATTTCAGTTATAATCCTGTTTCCCCTTCCCCATCTCAAGTATTTCACATGCTTTACCCTTCGTTCTCCTGCCTCGCCCCATCACTCCCCTCCTCACTTTCTCCTAGCTTGCTCTCCCTCTCCTTAGGACGTTGCTTCCACTCTACGTCAGAGATCTTGCAACCTCAGCCCAAGAGCACCGTTACAACATAGTGTCCCATGAACTAGCGTCACGCACACCCGCGCAGCTGGAGACAGCGGCTGCCTTTTCAAATCACTGCGGTGCGCTGTATTCTAGCATGCTAGAGTGGGATACCAGCAACTGACCTAGTCTTCTCGGCATGTACCTCAGTGACCCCTTCCTCAGATCGTTCGTACGACCGTACAGCAATAATTTCCTTCCTTGTCCCTTGCTGCAATTAGTTCCCTCTTTATTGTTATTGAGCCTGCCCACATACCAAAGGCCCAGGTCTAATTAGGGCTGCTCTTGCTACAGCCGGTTCAAACCACACCCACAAATTGAAGAGATCTGAGCCAAAGGGTGCATGGCTGTGAGGAAAGGCAGAGTGACAACACAGACAAACACAGGGCCAGGATGAGAAAGGTGAGCTGACAAGGGTTGCAGAACCTTGCTTCATCCTGGATGGTTCCTGCAGCGGCAGCTCTCACCGACAACATGGCGGCTTCTACCTAGTTTGCCCTCTCACAGGAAGGTTATTTCCCTTTTGTAACCCTTGCGGCCAAAAGGTTCTCCGAGCCTGTGTTCCCAGCTTGTAGCAGGGAAGCCCTCTCTAGGCCCACCCCATTGCATCAGCTGGGGGCAAGGGTACGCAGAAAGGCAAGAGGAGAAAAGCCTGGCAAACATAAAATGGGGGAGGGGGAGAGAGGAAAAAGGGGATAACTGGCCACTGCATCTCAATCCACGGATAAACATCAACAGTTAATTACGCAAGTCGGGCACCACCTTCCCACCCTCTCCTCATGAAGGTTAAGGGACAGAGGAGGAAGTTCAACATTCAGCCGTTTCGTCTTCAAGTTGATTCTGTCTCCTTTGGATGGCAGAAGAAAAGTGGAAGAAGGGGGAGGGGCCAGTGCAGCTACAGCCATTCTAGGTGAGAGCTGGGCAGAGGCATGGCAACAGGACTCAGTTCGCGACACGGGCTTACGGACACTAGGAGTATGTGGCCTGGTTGGAGCCAGATTTGACGATGGTGATGACGCTGGCAGTGGCCACCTTGCCAGTAGTGCCGTGTGCGGTGACCGTGCGGGCGAAGCCCTGCAGCGCCTCGTATTTGCCGCGCAAGGCGTCGAGCTCAAGGCGCATGGCGGCATTCTCCCTCGCTAGCTTATCCACCTCCCTCTCCAGCTCCGTCTTCTGCTTCTGCAGCTCCTCCTTCTGACACACCCGCTTGACCCGGCAGCTGGCCGCGTAGCCACGGTTCTTCAGCGTGCGCCGGCGCTGCTTCAGCCGCGCGACCTCCTCCTTGGACAGGCCCCGCAGGTGGTGGTTCAGTTCTCGCACCGACAAACCCATTAGTTCTTCGTCGGAAAGGTGTGGCGTGTTCTCGCCCATTTCCCGTTTGATCTGTTGGTGAGCAGAAGGAGCAGGTGAGTATCGAGCATCAGAAAAGCTCAGGAAAAGGGGGCATGAGGTGAGGGAGAGCAGCTCAGAAAGGCAAGAAGCCAAGGAGGAAGCTGAGCAGGTCTGGCAACGTTCTGCACCAAGGAAACCCAAGTGCTCTGACAGTAGTGATGCACATTATAAAATGCATACATTATGTTTATTTGGGGATGTCGAACCTGTGGCCCTCCAGATGTTGTTGGACTACAGCTCCCATCAGCACCAGGAAGAATGGCCAATGGTCAGGGATGATATCGTTGGTATCGTTTTTAACTACCAGGCCTCGACAGGACCACAGGTTCCACAGCTCTGTGGTAATTTACACATACAGTGGTACCTCAGGTTAAAAACTTAATTCGTTCTGGAGGTCCATTCTTAACCTGAAACTGTTCTTAACCTAAGGTACCACTTTAGCTAATGGGGCCTCCCGCTGCCGCCGCGTGATTTCTGTTCTCATCCTGAAGAAAGTTCTTAACCCGAGGTACTATTTCTGCGTTAGCGGTGTCTGTAACCTGAAGCATCTGTAACCTGAAGCGTCTGTAACCCAAGGTACCACTGTACTTCTAACAGATATTCAAGAGTGCTCACAAATTATGTCTAAAATATGGGTGTGTTTTTAAAATTAACTAAAAGTACTGAACTTGGTCCGGATCTGACCCTGCACATCTATGCTTTAGTTCCATCAAAGTCCATAGGACTTACAAGTGACTCATGACTAATTTATCCCATTGCTTTCAGCGGGACTAGTCAATGAGATTGAAAGTATGACTAACTTAGTCTGGATTCAACTCAGTGACTTTGAAATGATTAGCATAACAAATCAGTAACTGGTGCAACAGGTGTAGCATAGGCTTTCTATAATCTGATATCCAGCACACTTTGAGGTGTGAGACAATTAAAACAGGAACGTCACCTTGTAGAGTGCCCCCCACTCCCTGGTTGCCTTAACCTACAAGCTTCAGTTCCGCACCCCTTGAAACCACACGAAACCTCAAGGCAATTACAGTGAACCAAAAAAAAGATTTATAGTAGTGTTGTTTTGAATAGAGAAGTGGTGTACCAAAACAAGAAGCAGTAAAATTCAGGCCGCTGATGGCTAGCATTAGGAAGGGACACCTGGACAAGATAAGGAATCAGGTGTCTCTATTTTCAGTACCTGCTCAGCCTCAAGGCCTCTTGACAAATAACACCAATTGCTCAACACTGCTTTATTATTATTGTTTCGTTTCCTCAAACATCACGGGTGTGCTCACCTACCACACACCCCTACAGGCTGTTTCGCGAGAAATCTCTCAGGAAACCGGCTTGCTCAGCTTCTCCTTCCATTATAGTCCCAGCAAGTGGGAAAACAAGTGTTATAACTTCCAGTTAAGACATTCCTTTTCCTTCCTGTTCCTAAGCTAACTTCTTGTACAACTTGGGTCAAGCTGTGTGCAAGGGGAAGCCCTTTAACTCTATATATGGGGAAGGCCCTGACATGGTTTAAGGAACATGGGGCCAAGGTATCACATCAGACGGATGTTACCAAGAAAGAAAATACGGATGGGGCCTGGAGAGACTCCGATACAACAGGCAAGGTGAGCACATGCGGCACAAACTAATCCTGGTAGTAAAAGGCAGATCACGTTGAACAAAACAAAATGTAGTGCGATCACACCCTCAGAGGAAAAGTACCAGAGGAAGAGCACAGAATATCCTTCCCCTTTCGGCTCCACCCAGACTGGAATCTTTTGCAGACACTGTCTGCTGCCACTTTCCAAAACATATTTTTGCCCACCATGAGGATTAGAAACTCGCGTTTCTCAAAAAGCTTAAGGAAGTCCAGATTCTCAGGATCCTCCTCCTGTGCCTGTTTGCTGGTGGGAGGGGAGAAAGTCTAATTCCACACACTAACTTCTGCATGTATATTTACCGGCTCCGAACATTTGGGGAGTAGGACAGGGAAAAGCGGGCAATAATAAGAGGGAGGAAGCAGAGTTGTGAAATAAGAAATGGAGGGCCCAGAGAAAAGAGGGAAAGTGGAAGGCAGGGGAGAGTAAAGGAGGAGGTGGGGGAAAGCTACAGAAAACACACAGCAGAAACGCTGGGCAAAGGTGCTTTTGCATATTTCTGAATTGTTCCAAATGGGGCCAGGTTTTCCATTTAAACATATGGACAGTTGCTCACCTGCATAATGATCAGTCTCCCACACTGACCCACAGTTATCGGATGGATCAGCCTCTCTCACCCTCCCATCCAGGCCTGACTTTGTCCTGATCTAGAGATCTATGAAAACAAGGGCTGGGAGAAGCATGTTCTTCGGTGCAGTGACACTCTTACCTTTAGGGCTTTGCTCGACAAGCTGTCAGATGACATTTTACGTCGCGCTCCCACCGATCCCCCGGAAAAGAGTCTGTAATTGAGCAGAACAGAAAAATAAAATAAAAATAAGCCTGTGATCTCTATCCACCTCTGCATTTTGTGCTCTCCGGGGGGTGGGGGGGTGGAGAGAGGCAACATCTGCCACACAAATGTACCCCTTCCTTTTTGCCCTGCTTGGGTCTCCCAACCCCATCCTCCACTAGCCATCGTGCCAAATGGACAGGCACAGAACAGACACTTGGATTCTTCCCTAAGAAAACCATCCTTGTGGGTGGGTGGAAGGATTCTTCTAATGTTCCACAATTCTTTGGTCCGGTAGAGCAAAGGAGAGATACCAGATTGCTGACCCAGTGCCAGAATGAGTCATGCTTGTTGGTGTTGGGTGTGTGTGTGTGTGTGTGTGTGTACGTTTAAAAAATCTGTTATGGTTTTCTGATGCTCTCACACACTAGCCCACCTACCTACCCAAAAAGCTACACACACACACACAATAGCGTCTCTACACTGGGCATGTCCTGCAGCTACCGGAAACTGCACAAGGGCAAACATTTCCTGAGAGGGAGGAAACAGAACGGTGGGGAGCCAGCTGGCGGGTGTGTCTCTGACATGCCACAGTGCCTAGAAAGCCACCAGGGAGAGAGAATCAACACAATCTCTTTTTACGTGCACAGCAGAGGTATTCAGGCCGCTTGGCGGCCAGTGCCTAATAAGCAAGAATCCCCACATCCCCCAAGTGCAGATGCACACAGATCTGCTCTCCTTAGGGGATCAGGCATTAAGCAGCTCTGCCTGCAGCCAGGTGTCTGTGCATTTTTGGGACCAGCTGTTTCACTAGGGAAAAGGACTATCTCAGTTATATCGACTGGCAGAAGCCTTTGCGTTGACACCAGTAGCCTGAAGAATTTCTTGTTAAAAGATTTTGCAGCAAAAAGGGCAGTTGGCACCCTTGACCAGCTACCATGACAACCCTGGCAAGGCCCCGCTGCTGCTGTCTGTCCTGGACCCCATTATTATTATTATTATTATTATTATTATTATTATTATTATTATTCTGACCCATCTCCCTCAGCAGTGCCCATTGGCTGGATCTAGCCACCCTTAAAAGGACAACAAAAACACCTGTTAATATTTTATTGGTTCTTGTTTCCCCCTTAACAAGACAATCAACCAAGAGAAACAATAAAAGGATAATAGCAATTTGTACTGCAGTATCATACAATTAAAAATTAATGCCACCAGAGCAAAACTAAAAGGGAGTTTGGTATGTGAGGAACAGGCTGCAGCAGTACAGACCCCAAATGCCAGAGTGTTTATTCCTCTTTGCGCCACTTGCTGAGCGTAGCTTTGGCATATGCTGCAAGAGCAGATAAGTCTTCCAACCACTGGGCAATCAGGGGAGGAAACGCAATTCCCCCCCAGCATTGCAACACTAACTAGCCTTTTGGCCACCGACAGGACGTGCAAAGTCCAACTACACTGCCCTTCTGGAATATAACTAAGTGTACCATGGGCACCTGAGAATTTTAGGGATTTCCCCAGGTCCAAGTTTATACTGACGACAACTTCCATCTAAATCAGCGCCACTATAGGGCATGGCCAGATCATACGTTTCAGCACTGCCCCGTGGTACCACACCACCACCAGCTATCTGCGGGTACAAGGTGTCTGTTCAAAGCATCTGTGGGGCTACAGGTTTCCTATTCTCAATGCAGAAGACTGGAAAGCTATCAGGCATGTGAGCCCAAACCTTGCTATGTACAAATGCTGGACTGGGGAAGCCAGAGTTCATAATCTTTGCTTAGCCCTCGCTCACCTAGGGCCAGTTACTATTTTAGCCTAACCTACCTCACAGGGTTGCTGGGAAGGTAAATGGAAGGAAACCATGCCCATGGCCCTGAACTTTTTTTTTTGAAGAGGAGAGAATAAAAGCATTTTTTAAAAAGGTGCTAGAGATCAGCAAGGACTTCATTTAAGAGCAGGCTACAGTTAGATCCAAACAGGCACCACAAAAAAATTCCTATTTCTCCTACTGCTCCAGAAGCCTATGAAAATCAAGCAATTTCCAACATGCTGGCTGAGTACTGTTGATTCCCTTCTAAAGGGAAGGGGGCTCCAGAAACAGACCAATGAAGCCTGAATTTATTCTAAGCACATAATTTGGGTGTTTGTGTGGAAAGAGAAAAGCACAAAGTAAGATCCGCCTTGCCTCTGTTTCTAAAACTTGATGGGAGCTATACTTCCTTGATCCCAAAGAAAGGGCAAATTCAGTCAGGTCAAATTTAGTCATGTCAGCTTCAGCACCTGAGGTCAGCAATTTATTTTTGCAGGATTTTTATACACATTCCCTCACAGGAGCATCAAAGCCCCAGGAATGAAACCTGAGGCAGAAGTTCAGGCGTGGCGTTCTTTCAAATCCGCAGTAATTTTCCTAAGAGTCATGTTCACCACACAAAACAGACACACACACACACACACACACACACGGTTAGGGCCCAAATGTATTTGTGGAAGATCCCTGGCCAGAGAAACGGCCAGATGTATATTCCCCTTAGAATGAGAGGAGGAGGTAGAGGAGGGAAAAAGTTACTCAAGTCTGTTTGTTTTGCTCATACTGAGACATGCCTAGACAGGAGACTGGGGACAGATGCAACGGCGATGGGCACAGACCCAGCAGCTAGAGAAACAGCAGGTTCCCAAGTCTTGGAGAACAAACAGGACTGCCTGTTTGAGGAAGGCAGAAGAGCCCCACAATGCCAGCTTGGATTGGGGCACTGCTAACCTGCCCCTCCAGAACCAGGCCAGAGTTTCTTCTAGGAATAGAAACCTAGCCACACATGCACTCAGCAGCTTCAGCTCAGCGAGCAGAAAATACACTCATTTTGTTTGGCTTCTGTTGCCGCAGCTTAGTCAGTCACCATTTTCAACCCTCAGGGCAGCCGTGTTTCCATGGGAGGACAAACAGTACCTGTCTGTACAGTCAAATGACATTCAAGATGGGAGGCAGAGGGGAACCATGAGCTAATACATTTCCTGCCAGTATCCCCAGCACGCAGCAGGCACGAAGCTATCCAGGTATAACTAAATAGGCCCGATTATGCTGCTGGTTCAAAAAAGCATATCGAAAAAGAAGTGACTCTATAAAGACCTTCTTGGGCAATCATTTCATCTAACCATCGCACATTGTAACTCATTTGTTCCTGGAGTCCCAGGCACCTTTCCCCTTTTCTGGACAGTGCTTGTGCCCCGTGACACAACTCCCTTGCTAAGGTCATACTTTAAATATTTTTCATCTTTAATGCTTTAGGGGCTGGACATTCCCCTTCTTGTGCCAGCCAGCTGCATGCACACTGAAGAATATTCTTCCTTCCTATGAGTCCCAGGCATTCTGCAAGCCTCTTACTTAATTTCCTTTGTTAAATACAGCTATCCTCTCCAGTACGTATACATACATCCCACATACATTACGAACCTTGGTTTGTTTTAACTATGGGATGGTGTTAGGTGTGAAACCAGCACCCTTCCCTAACTAGGGTTCGTTTCACCATCTCACCCCAGACACTTGCCAAACTACAAAGGAGGCTGGTTTGTTTGTTTGTGGGGAAACTTGTGGCTTAACACTACATGCAAACCAGGCCACAACACACCTTAAAAGAAAACAAAAACAAGACTATGGATCTGCACCACTCAGTAGCAACCTGTAGAGGCAAAACATCACACTAAGATGCAGCAAGCTTGTTTTCTCCAGCTCCAGAGTGTAGGAGCCAAACCAATGAATTCAAGTTACAAGAAAGGAGATTCCAAGTAAACATCAGAAAGAACTTTCTGATGGTAAGAGCTGTTCAACCGTGGAACGGACTCCCTCAGAAGGTGGTGGACTCTCCTTCGTTGGAGGTCTTTAAGCAGAGGTTGGATGGCTTTCTGTCACGGATGCTATAGTTGAGATTCCTGCATTGTAGGAGGCTGGACTAGATCAGGGTTTCCCAAACTTGGGTCCCCAGGTGTTTTTGGACTACAATTCCCATCATCCCTGACTACTGGTCCTGCTGGCTAGGGATGATGAGAGTTGTAGTCCAACAACAACAGGAGACCCAAGTTTGGGAAGCCCTGGACTAGAGTCCCTTTCAACTCTTTGTTGTTGTTGTTTAGTCGTTTAGTCATGTCCGACTCTTCGTGACCCCATGGACCAGAGCACGCCAGGCACTTCTGTCTTCCACCTTTCAACTCTACAATTGTATTTATCTATGATTATATCCTTGTGTTGAAGTAGTTCCACTGGGAGTACAGCTGTAAGAGAAATCGAAAGGCATCTTTACCATGCCTTCCAGCCCAGGGTCTCTCAAAGCTGTTCACGGCAAAAATAAAAGAGTACAGTAGTACCTCGAGTTAAGAACTTAATTCGTTCTGGAGGTCCATTCTTAACCTGAAACTGTTCTTAACCTGAGGTACCACTTTAGCTAATGGGGCCTCCTGCCGCCGCCGCGCAATTTCTGTTCTCATCCTGAAGCAAAGTTCTTAACCCAAGGTACTCTCTCTGGGTTAGCGGAGTCTGTAACCTGAAGCGTCTGTAACCCGAGGTACCACTGTACCAACAACGGAAAATCAGGATGCAATCCTGTTGTTCTGAGAAGAGTGTCCCACGGGCTAAAAGGAAAACCAGGTTTTCCTCTCCACCAATAGAGAAGGAGTTCTGCTGCATCCAAAGCCCTCTCATTCCACCAACACACCCTGAAATGAGGGCTGAAATGTATGTCAGCTATGGAACTGGGGTATTTATTTTCCTTGGAAGGAAGAAAACTGAAGTGGAGGAGGGGGACCTGAAAAAAAATTGAATGAAACCCACCCCACTAACAACAGCCCAGCAGGCCATGAGCATAGCCAGGAATTTTGTTGGGGGGCGGGCAGAACATCAGTTTGGTACCTATTTTTATTTAGGGGGCAGTTGCCCCCCCCTTGGCTACACCAATGTAGCAGACCTTTAGATTTGGCCGTTTGCTTTGGATTCTTCCTTTCCAGGACCCATAGGGGCCTTGC